TTTTTTTTCTGAAAAGTAAGTTCTAATTTTATTTTTGTAATAACCCCATGCAAAAAACCCCAAAACCCAAAGACCTTGTCAAGTTCATGCCAGGGTATTCCTGGTCATGAGGCAATTAGTTTTGACAAAATGTAATACCTACATACCCTAAATTGACACAGGAAATATCTGAGGCAGAAAATACTTCACAGGTAAATGAAAATGCTTTACTTCAGTACTATTTACTCTGCTTGGAATGAGAAGAAATGTGATAGTATGATTCCACACAGAACCAAAAACCTTGATATAAAAAATATTTTATTGCCTCTACCCTTCTGTTGTTCTATGTGTACTATTTCAAAGATTTATTTTTATGCAATCAAGAGAGGGCTTCGATATTGTTCACAATGCAGTAAAACCCTGAAATGTCTTTGAGGCTGAAATGACCTTGGAGGATAATTAAAACACCCTGAAAGCTACTGTCTATTTTGTTAGCACTGGATAACAATGACTTGTTCTAACAAGTTATCTTATCAGGTTTTACCTGTAGTTCCTATGCTAGATAGCAATCCAGTTCACATTTTTACAAATGTGATGTTTAAAACATGTCAATAAACATTTTGTACATAATGACAGTTTCCTATGAATAGCTTACAGACTTCCTCTGAAATCATTCTTATTTCAAATGCCAGGATAAGAACTTAAAGGTTTGTAAATTATTTCTTGACCTACATCATTTTGTATTAAAAACAAATGCAAAATGTTCTTCAAAATAAAACTGTGTAATAATTTTATTATACTTGGGAGTTCTTTTACTAATATTTTTTCACCAAGAAGTTGCAAAGGTTAAGTTAAATTTGCAATGTTATGAGAATGGGAGGGAATGTGTGAAATAGGGTATCAGTCTGCAGTATCACACTGTGCAAGTCGTATTTGGATGGTTGCTGTTAACCACAAAGAAATAAAGTAATTAGAGCATTCATGTGCCAAAGGGACTACTACTTCCCTAAAGACAAACCTATGGAAACGATTAGGAAAATTTGACTAAAATACCTGAAGCATCTAAATAAATTTTCCATCCTGTCTTGGGAAGCCCTTGGGTAGGTTACCCAGCAATATTCACTTTGTTGCACATTCCCAGCTTACAGAAACAAAATCTGGGAGGCCAAAATGGAGCTATCCCTATGAAATAACGAGTAGATTTCAAATTTCTACCTACTGTGGTAAATCCACTTCTGATAACCACCTTCAAGGCAACTGAAGTTAAACTTAAAAAAAAAAAAGAGGAAAGCAATCTCAGACTTGTATTTTGTCCTGCATGGATGTTTGATAGCAGGTCAGGTTTAGCAGATTGAGCAGGGTGACAGGATTTATAATTAGTGATTTCTCCAAGGAGACAGAAAACCATATGCTGACCTTACTGTATTTTCATGCTCTTTGTCCTCAGCCTTCAGCAGTGAGATGAGAGAGTCTTTATGGTAGATAAGAAATTTTATGAGAGAAGTGTTTGCAAAAACAAACAATTGAGGAAATTTAGTTGCAGACCATGATCTACACAGTTATTGGCTTGGGGGAGAACATTTGTATAGATTCAAAGAATACTTGTTCAGTTTTACTACAGAGATATGTGGTAACAAGTAATCAATATAAACATAATTATATGGTAATTGGCACCCTTAGAATGCTACCAATCATAGTCATTAGTACAAAAAACCTAGAAGTTCTCTCAAGAATTAAGTTATCATTTATGAGACTCCACATTTGTTTATATATATATTTAAGGAGAGAAATTACTAGTGAAGAATTAAACACTGGTAAGGATTCTACAGTAAATTCACTGAAAAAATGAATTTATAAAATATATTCTTATTTGAACAGTGTCTTCTGTTAGATCTTGGCTGACAGAAAAATTGATACTAAAAATTATGAGAGAGTAATAATATATACTTGTGTTCTCCCTCTTAATTTTAACTATAATATAAAAAGTAATTACATTATTATTTAATGATATATATATATTATTTATTTATGCTTTTATTATTCCTCAAAATCTGTTTCTATATTTATTTTATAGAGAATGTGTATTCCAAGCCCACCTTTCCAGTGTTCATATAGCTGCCTAATTTGGTTACAGATCAATTAGGTCTTAGAGTAATTGAAAGGAGGCACTTGGAAAGTGCCTTTTAAGGTTGTGCTGTACAAAATCTTACAGAAATTAAATACAATGCAATTTTACAAATACTGCTATATTCTGCTACTTTCAAAAGCACTTCTCATACTGAAACTGCAGCTGAAATGTGTGTACAGAAATGTTTTTGGTCACTTTTCTTTCTTAATGTCATTGTCCTCAGCCTGAGACCTTCAACTGCCTGAGCATCTGCAGCAAGCCATTTCCATGGAGATGCTGGTGTTCTCTCTTGCAGTACCATTGCTGGTCCAAGCCATGCTGGCAGGTCTAATAATTCTTGAATCAAACAGCTTTTACTGTTAACTGGTTTTGAACACATAATATATTATCTGTATGTTTATAAAATTTATATATGAGTAGAATTGGGAACAATCACACTATTGTGCTAAGCAGGTAGAACTGTGGAATTACAACCTGTGTTCTGCAGTCCAATATGGGGTAAAAGGTGGTTAATTTTAGCTATGAGACTACCAGTGTTTCTCAGGATGTGTTAGAATAACCTAGACCTGTTCTAAGGACCCTTTAGCAGACTTGACTTTGCTGCTGGAATTCAGAGAAATTTTTAGCAGGAATTCAATATCAGCAACCAGATACAACACAGGAGAAACTAATGGTAAATTGATGCTACTTAGATTTCCCCAGGGCAACAAACCCTTCAGAACTTCATCAAAGGGATCTCATGAAGGAGCTTCAATGTTCTGCAGCAGCGAGGCTGGAATTAATAAAGCAACTGCAGTTTACAGCAGTGAAATTGTTTAAGTGTTTAGAAGGGGAGGAATCTGCAAGATGTCCGTGCTTAGAACTGCAAGAAAAGATGATGATGTTTCAGAGAAAATGCCTGCTAATCTGATTTCTCAGTGCAGCAATGTCTCCTGAACATAAGACAGACACATGGATACCTAACCTTGCTATTTACTCCTCTTTTTAGAGCTTGGCGTAAGAGCAGAGAAAAGGCCTGTGCATGTTCAGTGGTAAGTTACATAAGCCAGTGGCTAGTTAATCATCTGCAGTTGCATAATAACAATTCCCATCTTGCATGCCTTGAGTGGAAACCCACGTTGTAATTCTGCAAATGCAGGAACTTCAGTGTCTCATCTTGCCAAATCGCCTCCCTTCTCACCCGCACAGGACTGTGGTAAGTCTCGCCAGTGTATATAACTTAAAATATCCCAATTGTATTCCAAATGACACTAGAACTTACTGAATATCTTTGAAGAGAAATATCACAAACATAAGTGGTGAGAAAGAATAATTTGCCATTATGAAGTACAGAAAAGTTGCACTAGATGGATTGTCTCCTTAACTCTGCTAATTGATCACCTATGATGTGAAATATTCTTGTTCCTCCCCTCATTTCAAAAGAAGGCATCACATACACAGAAAGGGTTTACCTGTTTCTTTTGGAGCAGAGTTCAGTGCTGTCATCTTCCATCTTCAGTGGTTTTGTTTATGTTTATGCAGATGCTGTAAGGAATTAAGTCCTTTCCTTCAGCAGAGCTTCCAGTCATTGCCTCACAGAGAGCAGGTACAAGTATCTGCCTTAAACATCTGCAGTTGTCCCTCCAGCCAACATCTGAGTCAGCAAGGTTTTCTACAGTCTGTTAAAACGGTGTAAAATTCCATTCTTTCTTTCTGAAAAAATGCTTATTCTCTTTGCCACAACTCCTGAGCAGTCTTAGGCTACAGAAGCTTTTACTTTATGATTTGACATCTGCTTAGTCAGAAGTTACTTTGGAATACTTAATAAATACAAAATAATCAATGGAATCACCTTCTTTCAGTCAGTTCAGTTTCTTTAGTTTCTTTTTTTTAAATCAGTACCTGACAGTTAGTTTGACACCCAAAACAGCCATGAAAGTTCAAGTATCTTAACTTACACATCCGAAAATTAAAAAAAGCAAAGCTTCAAGTCCTAACTAGAATATAGCAGTGGTTCACTGAATAAGATATTTGCCTTCTAATTTAAAAAGACCTCTTCCCACATCATCAATATCTGACCTTATACAGTTATTGTGAGTAACATTTCATTTTAAATATAGTCTGCTTGTAATTTTTCTAAATAAAACTTGAGTGATATCAAGGCACCATTCAAAATATTTACTGATAATATCTTTTGTAAACAATCATCTGAGCCAAGACCAGTCACTTTAAAGATGTTATAGGAAGAGCAGATCTCTTACTGCTAGAGTGGTACAACTATATCAGCTTAAATTGTGAGCAGAATTCTACTAAGCTCCTTGTGGGAAAAAAAAAAAAAAGCAAGCCAGAAATAACAATTTTCCAGTAGATTTTTATAAATATCAACTCCAGTTCTGCATTTTTTAGCAAAATAAGTTTCCAATAAATACACTGTGTCTTCTCCCTGAATGCTATACAGTTGGAGACTGCTGAGCTTAGTGAAATCTAACTTTGAGTGAGGATTTGTAAATCATGCATCCCTTTTGTAAAAACTACATTTGACAAACTCTGAGCACATGCAGGTTCCTCCATTTCCTATGAATTCTGATACAAACTAATTCAGCTCTTGAACATGAAGTTCAGATGGTCTGAATTCATCAAATAACAAAATCATTTTCAAAATAGCACACATAAATCTCTTCCATCCCTTGTGCAATCGTGTGGTATTTCTCACTGATGTGTACAACCATCTTGTCATTCAGAAACAACTTCTCTCCAACAGAAAATTTGAATTTACCACAGAAGGTCATATTTAACTAGATTTATGATTCTTGGAGTGGCCTGCACAGGGCCAGAGCTTGCACTCAGTGATCCTGATTCGTCACTTCAAACTCAGTATATTCCATAATTCTAAAAAAGGAACTTAAGCCGACTGATTAAAAGAACAGTAGATACCAAAAAAAAATTGAAATTAATAGTTATTTTAATAGGATATGTTGTTTTTCATGATTCAGTATGAGATACCAACATACGGATGAAAGCCTAAATAGCAAATTTTATGAAAGGATGAGAACATTTACTTATCTCTGTGTTTCCAAGGTCTTGGGCTTATATACAGGAACATTTTTCTCCTGAAGTGATGGGAGACCCTTAATTATATCTGCAGCTTTCTCTGCTATCATGATAGTTGGGGCATTCAGGTTTCCAGTGACAACACTGGGCATTATTGAAGCATCAACTACTCTCAGGTTTTCAACACCAATTACTTTTGTTTGGGGATCCACTACAGCAGTGCTGTCTGAAGGCTGACCCATTTTACAGGTGCAGGAAGGATGATAAGCGCTATCAGCCTTCTGCCTTATGAAAGCATCTATTTCTTTGTCAGATTGAACATGACTTCCTGGTTGAAGTTCAGGCCCACGAAATTTTTCAAAAGCTTTCTGAGCAAAGATCTCTCTGGTCAGCTTGACGCACTGGCGGAACTCCCAAATATCTCTTTCTGTATAGAGAGAAAATAAAAAAATTGTACATATTTAATTTAGCAGTAATGCAAAACAGAAAAAAGCAGCATTGCAGAAAAAAGGCTGGAAGGAAAGTCTCTCACTTCTTGCTGAAAGCCATAATAAAGCAGAATATTTTTCAAAGTCACAGATATTTACATTCATTGTGAACAAAACTGTCACTTATATTGCACAACCCCAAAAGAGAAGATGTGAACTATGAGAAATTGCACTTTATCTTGCTGTACCCACTGTCTAGGAAAAGGAAAATAGTCTCAGCACAAAGAAGCAAAAGAAATTCATTCCTTCACAAGCAGAGGTGGGCATGAAACAAACAGCAAGACATAGCAGATACTGACAATTCCGATGTCATCCCCAACAGGAAATTCTTCCTAGTTTACACAATGCTTTGCATAATCACCTCTTTTCATACTAGTTGACTTAGTTATAAATGAAAAATAAATAACGATGTACCAACCAGCACTTCTGAACTGGTATTGAGTAGGTACAAAAATCAGCTACTGGAACAGGTGGGAAATAAGCTGACACCAGAGCAAGGAGAGGCTGCATTTACCTGTTGACAGGTAGTTGGGCTCAATGATGGGGTGCTCGTTTGGGTCTGAGCTCTTCAGCTTCAGCCAGCCGACACTTGTGCTCCTCATGGGTCCCACGTGGACCTGCAACACCCACACTGTATTCATGACACAATCCCACCTGATCTACTTCCAAACTCAGCATGGGGTTTTTTTGTTTGTTTTTTTTTTTTTAATTTAGACAGACTACAAATTCAGCAAATGTAAACATTAACCAGAGATAGTGGAAAATACCATTGAAAAGTTTTCCATTTTATATAATTTCTTTTGTAAATATGTAGTTCCATTGCAGGGAGGAAATATGCCTGTCACATCAAGTCACAGCTGCTCTTTTCATTTAAAATACAACCATTCCCATTTAGTAGTATCAGAGCACTCTAATACAATCAGCAATTGGACCAAATTATTATGCCTCTGAAGGAAAGAGATTAACAAGGAAAAGCACATATATTCAGAGACAGTTCCCCAGAACTGGAATTCAGTTTTGGATCAAGATGATAATCTGAAAATGGGCTTGGATTTGTGCCAGTGAATAAATGTGTGTTTCTATACATTTTCACTTAAACCTTTGTCTAAACTACAGTGGAACAGGGGACACCTGATTCCACTACAAAATTGTGTCCTAACCCACAGCTCTAGGGCACTTCAGTAGAGTGAATACTTAATTCAGTTCTTGCCTTCTTTCCCAGAGATAAAAACTAACATAAATTTGGTGGCAATATCAAATAACAAGGCTGTGTTTTTTTCCCCAATGAAGGAGGTTAAGCAGTCAGTTTCATATTATACTGAAAAAAATATTTTTCAGTATATAGCCAAATTATCAACATCTATAATGGAGCATAAAGCTCTGTGCCAATGTCTAGAAAACCTTACTGGCACATTCTCTCCAACTCACCTGGTAAGCTTCCATTGTGGAAGCAACCCGGCCATGGTCAATCACCTGAGAAGGAAGAAAGTGGAACTGAATGTCGGGGTGAGGAACCCCTGCTTCGCTTCGGATGAAACCACCAGATTCTAAGTGGGCAGTGGCTCCCTCACCTAGAGAGCGCAGAGGAGGGAGAAGATGCCATTAAATACCTCGGAAGAGTAACAAGTCCACTTGTTGTTAACCCTTAGTTGCACTACTGTGAATGATTTCTATGTCCAGGGTCAATTGCAAGGAATGCAAATCCGTCATGAACGGCTCATAGTTTAAGGAGTGTGCATCGCTTTCATCTGCTTTTTAATTCCTGGATAAATGTAAATACACATAACTTGGGAAATCCCACTGGTCTGAGAGTGGGGGTGTTACAGTTATCTCACTGTAACTGGCAGGCCAAGGGTCTGTCTCCAGAAGCAGATTTGGATCCTAACAGGTGTGCAGGGAACTGGCTGCACATGCTGATATTCCTGCACTGCTCCCTCCGTGACGTGCACTCCAGTTATCCCATCCGTCACATGGAAAAGGCAGAGCCATCCACAGTGCCTGCCCTGAAGGGAAAGATGAAAGCCCTGCAATCTGCCTTATGTTATTTTAATTTCTGTTTAAAACTGTGAGCTAGCCCTCAATATTTACTTGCATGGTAAAAAGCCACATATACCCAGAATAAGTTGCCAAATAATAACATAATTCAGCAAGTGATGTAGAGCACGACTTTGGCCAAGCTATTTAACTGACATCAAGGGTTATGTTAACAGATTATTCTTAAGTTACAACCCAGGTACTGTAAAATACTTGTGTCATTTTAAGGTAAGTCTACTAACATTTACTTGCAGGCCAAAGGGATTCTGATCAGAGCAACAAACAATTTTTTTTGAGATAATTATACAGAAAACTTAAGTCACTTCAACAATATGTTTTATTGACACCACATTGATTTAAAATAGAATATTTTCTCCATCTTTTTTGCAATAGCTTTTCTTAGTAGCACTGATTTTAAAATGTAGAACTTGTCTTTGCACGAGATCTAGGAATACTAAAAGTGGTGTATAATGATTTCCTTCATTCCAAAGATACAAAAACTTTAAAATATTCCAGTGTAGAGGAAATTAAATAGTTCAAGCCCATTTGCAAGTTCCAGTTATTTCCCAGAACATGAAAAAGATTATATATTAAAGCTCCCAGACTATAAAACTCACAGATAAAAGGCTGTCATAATTCTAACTCAGTCAATGGTAGAATGAATGCACACGTTGCTTCATACCTGTAAATTTCCAAAGCCATTCCAGACCAATCCTCACCATGTTAAGTGGCTTTTGTGCACTATAGAGAGTAATAGGTTTGGTGCACTTTTGCTGGACATACACTTCTAAATGATCTTGAAGGTTCTGGCCTACTCCTGAAAGGGGGGAGGGAGAAGAAAGTGAGAGGGAAAAAAATGTTATTTCACACAGAAGCATTGCCCACTGTGTTTCAAGCAGGGAACATCTTGCAAGGGCAGTGATGACACAGACCAAGGCCATGAGCCACATTAGCCTTTTGCTCATGTCAGAATAAGGTTTGAGATAAACATAGCATAACAAGAATGAAAATAGGAAGTTAAATCAGTTGTTCTAATATTGCCAGATATAGCTTCTAAATACGGTGCTTACTTCTTTAGCTTTAAGGAAAAGTTCATGTTATTTCTTCTATATTTGAATATTTATATCAGTGGGAGTTTATACAATCTGTTGTGGATCAAAACTAATTCAAAACTCATAATGAAAAGTGTGCTGCTTAACTATAAAAATACGCCTTCAGAAAGGCATTTTTCACTGTCAAATGTGGTGAAGGAAGAGTAGGAGTTTGTTGCTTAGTTCTAAAATCAATGCATGTTTCCACTGATTTGTACAAAATCAATACATCTTTCCAATGATTTGTAACAAACATGTCTTCAACATGTGTTTTGTAACTTGATATAAAGAAAACTCAATTTTATGATTAATTTAATTTAATGGTTGTTCACTTGCATCCATAGGAAGATGAAAGAAGAAAAAAAAATTACCAGGAAGATGGCAAACAACAGGGATCCCGAGTTTTTTTAGATCATCTGCATTTCCAATTCCAGACAACATAAGCAGCTGGGGAGAATTTATGGCACCTCCACTTAAAATAACTTCCTTATTGGCAAAAACCTAAAAGGAAGTGAGCACAAAAGCCCTAAGATTATTAAGCCTGAGCTGAATGCAAGCTCAGGGACTGCTCTTTGGATATTCTGCTCTGGAACAGATTAGACACCCTTCCCTCACATTTTTCTCATTTAAATGTATTCCTGTCTTGTCAGAATTTTCCACAGAGAGGAGTAATCAAGCTTTTACTTTGATCATTCCTGTATTTATTCCCATCTTTACAATCCATTCAAACTGTATGGCACAGAAACATTCAGCCCAGCTCCTGTCCTACTTGTCAGGGAAAAAGTACCTGTGGCACTCGGATCAGGCAGCTAAGCTTCTCTGCCATTTTCAGTAACTCTTTATAAATTAAAACTGAAACTCCTAAGGAAGATTTGAAATTCATAGACATGGTCAAAGCTCAAAAATTCTCAAGAACTTATATTTTTTTAATCAACCAAGTTTGATTTCATGGTAGTCCTCAAAAGCCCCTCCATTCACTAAAGCACTACTGATTAAATTGACTGCAAGCATAGATTTTGTTTTGCTGACAGTCTTGTCGTCAAATGGTTTGGCCTGAGCCCTGAGCTGGTCATGATACAGGCTGCTGAATTATTCCCCTACCTTTGACTTGGAGTTTTAACAGATTAGCATGGATTGCATACTAATTTGTAATCCTGTCCTTTCTGAATGACACCTCAGCTGTACAGAATGATGGCAAATGAGATTGTTGCTACAGCAACATCCAAGTGTAATAATAATAGTAATAATAATAAATAATAATAATAATAATAATAATAATTTTGCCACTATTTATCCCATATGGCCAACAGATGGCCAGTGCTGTTATCTTTTATTTATTATTGCTTTGCTCTGGGAAATCTTTAGTGTGCTAAGACTAATAAACACCTTGTCAGAGTCTGTCGAATCAGTACCTAGAGCTGTATTTTGCATGGACAAACTTATTTACATTTTTTATGGTACACACAGAACTGGTACCAGTTTGCTCAGAGCAGCATTCAAATGATGCTTGCTCAGTCTAAACCCACTGCAAAGTCAGCACTGTAGTTATTCCTAGCCCACTCAGAGTTTTTCAAAATGTCACAGCTAACATGCTAAGAGGGAAAAGTGACTTTGATACACTTTTTTTGGGTTAGTCTATAATACATTAAAACATCCTTTATATGAAAATATATGAAAATAAAAAATTAAACATCCTTTATATGAAAATATATCATCCTTTATATGAAATATAAAGTATAAATATACTTTTCTGCTTGATTCTAGACTTAAAAATCTTCAGTCTACCTTTCCTACTTTTGTCAGAGAGCTTACTGAGGACCTGGGAGTTCTCCAGGACTTCAGTGTAAGACAAATAACAAGTCACTGGCTGGTGAATAGGTTTTGAATCATTTTTGAATCAGGTTTGGTGATCTTTTCACTATGTTGTTGATTGACGTAAAAGAGATTCTATCTAAAATAGACTGTAAAAACAAAAACACTTCAGTCTCGTCAATTGCTTCACCTTGATGTTTATAATGCAATAAAATTATTAGTTCTTCCATCCTGATGGGTATAAAATTTTTCAGAAAGTAAAAGCAGACTAATTCTGCAGTTTTGATGCTGGGGTCGGGGGAGTAGGGGAGAGAGAAGGAGGGAAAATACTTTGAAGGTGTATTTTGTACAATACATGATATAAATATGTATTATTCACTATGTAGAATTCATACATGTATTAATATGCATGAAAATTCATAGCAATTGCAGAATTTCACAATTAAATGGTCCAGAGTTAGGAAAATCTTTGATCATGTGTAATTGGGTTTCCAAGACTTCAACAAAATTGATCTTGATAATGGCACAAGAACAGCAATTAGCGTTACTGTTTTCACAGAAATTTAATAGCTTATGAAATCAGTTACAGTTTCTGCAACTTCTATTTCATATCGGTAAAATGATTATAATTTGCAATCCAGTTAGAAAGCAGCAGATTTGATCTGTTCTTTAGAAAATCAAAGAACAGCTTATTTATACTGGCAGGTGCTCAATCACAGAACTTGTCTGCTGCTTTATAAGGCTTACTGAATTCAAACCATCAAGACTTATACTCAGCTCTCTCTAGGATATTATTATTACACTTTGTAATTTTTTTATAATAATTTGTGACTAAATATTTTAGGTTATTAGCAGACAAACCCCTTTTGGGCAATATCCTAGTTACAGACCAGTCCATAATCAGCTCTTAAGGGAAGTGAGGATGGTTTAGGTCTTACAAAAGTCAGTGGATTGAAAGAGGCATAAAATGAACCACAGAGTTTTGTAATGACAATTCAATCTTCCTCCTACACAATCACATTTTCAGTGGAAGTTGAACTGAAACTCAGAAATACTCATTCCACAGCCAGCCATAAGGCAAGATTTATCATCTATCCCTTGAGCCATTCAGATTTCAGTATCTGGCTTTAACAGATTTTCCTCTGCCAGACTTGTTTTTCAGAAACATCCCCATTGCAGCACTCTGGTGAATGTGCTGGGACAGGGCACGGTTGCACCACAGGCTCCAGTCAGACATCTTACACAACACTCTGTGTAACATCAAGTTATGGCCTGTCCCCTCAGCACTGGGAGATGGACATGGGATGACGAAGTTAATCTCTAAATCAGTACCACTGGAATATCACCCACTGTAAGATAACTGACAAGGAATCATATACTGAAAGAAACAATATAACCTCTAAAAAAAAAGAACATTTTGCACAGTAAAGTTCCATTTTTAATAGACTTTTTAAAAATTATATAATTTAGCTTTGATTCATACCTTTCATACTAGAAATTAAAAATCTCTTACCTTTTTCCTTTGCCCATTTTTCACATACTCAACACCAATGCATTTTGTTCCTTGGAACAAGATTTTTGTTACAAGTGTCTTCTCTGCAACTGAGAAATTTGGGCGTGATATGGCTGGGCGAAGATAAGCACTAGCTGTGCTCCATCTTTGACCTACAATGTATATTTACATTAAACATCAAAATAGTCATGCTCAGGATGCTTCAGATTTTGGCCAATAACCACCAGGATTTCCACAGAGGGAAAGTCTTCACAGAGTTTATAGAGTTCAAAGAAAATGTGATTTGATATAACAGTTAAAGATATTATTTTAACAAAGCAAATTTCAGAATGGCAGAATTTAACTGAGAATCAGGACTTTCCTACCACTGCAACTTGCAATGAAATGCACAGCACACCGACAGCAAACTGCTGAGTGGGGTGTAAGTACAGAGTGCCACAGCTGGCTACTAACCTAAACACTCAAATGGCATTCAGTGCAGATTACACATCCGTACTTCAAAATCATTTCTGGGTCAGAAATAGAAATTACTTGAGGACCCCTTTATGTTTTACCTCGGTGTATGGTCATGTCCATCCAGCCAAAGCCCTCCTGCTGATATCCATTCATGTCATCCGTGAAGGGGTACCCGGCCTGCTGGGCTGCCTCCAGGAACGCCCGATGGAGGGGATGGTTTGTTTTCCCTCTGGACACGTGCAGGGGCCCGCTCCCACCTCTGTACCGATCCGGCCCCAGTTCGTGCGTCTGTGCCTTCTTGAAATAGGGCAGGCAATGCTCGTAGTCCCAGCCCGGAGCCCCCTCCCTGCTCCAGCGGTTGTAATCCTCGGCGTGCCCGCGGATGTAAACCATGGCATTGAGGGAGGAGGAGCCGCCCCACACCCTGCCCCGGGGCCAGTACAGCACCCGGTTATCCATGTGCCGCTGGGCTCTCGTGTGGTAGTACCAGTTGTATTTCTCATCGCACAGGTTGTAGGTTAGCGCAGCCGGCATGTGGATCTTCCACATCAGCCTTGTACTGCCGAGCAGGGTGTCTTTAGGGCCCGCTTCCAAAAGCAGCACGGAACTCTGCGGGTCCTCTGTCAGCCTGTTGGCCAATACACAGCCCGCTGAGCCAGCTCCTACAATGATGTAGCTATAAGAGTTTGCCTTCTCAGAGCTCAGCTGAGATGATGCACGTGAAATTTTGAATTGTTGTTCACTGATGCCTAATGTGTTCTTTAATGTGTGTGCTTTAAACAGGTTTCCTGCTACTTTGCACATCACAGGACTGTGACCTTTAAATCCTTTCATTAAATATGACATCTTTAGTGACAGTCACTTTTGCAGAATTTCTGTCAAAAATCCAGTGGTTTACCTTAGAAAAAAACCCAAAGATACCAATTAAGATGTAAGCATTACTACCTCTAAAATGTCAGTCATTTTTAGGTGACAACGGTATATACTTTACCCATTTTCACTATCCAAAAAATTAATAACAATGTTGGTAAACCAGTAACCATTTACTGTCTTTTTATTCTTTTAATGAGGTCTATGCAGCAGTCAAATATACTACCCTATATTATATGTAGTCTGATTTTGCTTTGCTTCTGGATCCTGGGGTAGATGAACATTTTCAAGTATTTGTCAAACCCATAAGAGGCGGAAACTTTTCCATTACTTGTAGTTTCTCTTTATCCATCTCTAATAGGCAAGAATTCAAGAACAATAACAATTTCAAAAACTTCTCTGTGATATCACACAAGGCAATTCACAATGGAAATGATGAGTATTCTCACCGCACATTCTGCCAGAGAGTGTCTCCACAAAACAAACATGTAACAAACTCATTTCCAACTACCCTTGCAGGTGTGTCTCCTAACCCAGGGAACAGCAAAATCTGTTCATCTGTGCCTTTCTACTAAACTTTCAAGAGTACAGGTACAATCTAACACCACCAGATCCTTAGGCTGAGTAGGAATGACAAGTTTTTTACTTTCAGAGAAGCTAGTGAGCCTTGGAAGTACCACAGGTTTATCTCTGTGTTGCACTAGTTCGGGCACAGGCACTCAGTGCCAGGTTTTCTGTGTGTCACAGGCCTGCTGTCCAGCCTGAAGGGCTTCTCCTGCTCTCTCCCCCTGAAACTGTTCCTTCTGGTCTACACAATTAGTGAAATGGGGTGTCCTTGGGCAGTAAATAATACTGCTTCCTGGCCAATGTCTAAGCTGTTAGGTATTCTAGAGAAAGCAACTTATCCAGGGTCCATTACATTTATCTCTTCCAGCACTGTCCAGCTGAAGAGATAAGCAAGCATTCTCCTGAAATATGTTGAATCCTCTGTAACAAAATTAGGTGTAAATTGCTGCTTAATGTTAAAAATTTTCATGTACAATTACAATTTTATACACAATCCCATTTTCAAAAGTATGTTCCTTTACTCTTGGGGAACAGATGGAAAGAAGCATAACTCTCTGACCTTTCTTAGAAAAACTTGAAATAAACTTGTTTGGGGCTACAAACCCCAGAACTTCTGAATGAACAACCAGACATGGAGAACAATTTGTTCTATAAAAAAAAAAAAAAAAAAAAGATGTTGAGCCTAAAGTTTGCACAGCTGATTCTCCTTACATGGAAAACAATTCAAAATCGTTCCCAGCTGAAGATGGGGACAGTGTCAAGGGGGTTTTTTTTTTCTTCAGGTGAAGTCTATTAAAGGATTCTTTCTTGAAGAAAAAGGTTTATCAGCTTCTTGTGATACAGCAGAGGATGCAAAGGTTGAGAGGTTTTTTTTACTTGTTTTGGTTGTGGTGAGGAGGGTTATGGTTTTGCAGTACCTGTGTTTAACCTGCAGACCTGGTGGGCCACAGGACTTTATTAGTACAGGAGCAGCAGATTGGTGAAGGGGTTGATAGAATATGGGCCTGGGCCCTGGTAATCTGGGAAAGATACTGTCTCAGTAGGGAACTATAATTTTATGGCCAACACTTCTAAATTTTGCAGTGGCTGTGTCAAAAGGAAAGAGGGTAGAAATAGGGAGGTTTATGTGTTGTGGTCCTACAGGGGTAGGACTTACTACCTACAAAAAACGTCTTTTGGACCTTACTGGATGTCTTTTTCTGGGCACCCCCTATGTCATGACCTCTTTATGAACATCTAGTAAAATGTTCCTCAGTAATCAGTGAGCAGAGTTGCAGAAACGCATATGACAGCAACATAAAATACACTCCCAAAAAATACAATGTATTGCAGTAGAGCTTCAAAATCTGGAACTCGTTTTAAAAAAGCTTGTATTTACAAAGCTGCTGTTCAGGAGGGCCTGTGCCTGAGTACAAGACCCAGGAAAGCAGGAGCATCTCGGCAGGAAAACTCTGTTGCTACAATATAATAATACAGCTAACCATACACTGGTTAGCTAGAGGTGGGCAGTGGAATTCTGAAACCAGGTGTTGGGGCTCTTTGTGTCATTGTAACACATTTCTGAATACTGTATCAGGCTGATGTAATCCATGGGTACCTACAACTGCAACTCTGTCTGGGGTTATATGTGAAGACTTCTCTAAGGGACTCAAGACAGGTCACGCTCAGTCTGGGATAGAAGGCTGAACTGCCAACCAAGAAAGCTAAACCTAATGTTTCTTTTAAGTAGCTTAAGTAGTACATTTTAAATCTTCTCCACCTTATATTTTTCAGCTATATAGTTAGATGTTATTTCATGGTTTTCTTCTCATTTTGTTGTTTTTTTACTTCCACTGGAACAGGACTGGCAGAATAACACCTGAGGGAATTTTTATCATGCAAAGAGAGCTGGGAGTGAAGTCAGTCAGCAGTGTCCTGGCTGTAACAGTCAAGTGGCTTTGGCAGTCAGTGTGTAGATGATTCACAAACCTTGGTGCTTTTGAGTTCTGAAGTGCAGAGGTCAAAAATCAAGTCACTCATTTAATATAAATCTAGCACACGTTTTGATTGAATGGATTAAAACAGTAATTTCAGTGGACTAAAATGCTAGTTTCAATGCACAATTCTTTTTGCCATATTGATTCACATCCACTCTCCTCTTTCAGTGGTCCCTCTGCATGAGCACTATCCTACCCCATTTCTTCTAAACTGATTTTGAAACGAAAAGGAGAGGGTCACTGTGCCTGAAACACTTATTCTTTTCTGTTTACAGAGGAGAAACAAGAATATCCTCTTTGGCAGATGTAAAACATGACCCTCTCCCAGGGATGTCCACAACATAGACAACACAGTGCAGAGGAACAATGGGGCTTTGTCAGGACATTAACCCTTCATGTTACCACCAAATGCCGTCGGGCCTGGCTGTGTAAAATGCAGGAGGAAGAGCTCCTCAGGCTGCTTTTTGTTTGTCTGTTTGTTTTTCCCTGCTGCAGGCTGTGTAACAGGTTTAAATGTATCTGCTGCAGAATGTTTCGGACTAACTTTCCCTTCCGTCCTGCTATGGAGAAAGTTCATTCAGTTTCAAAAACTTTGTGGCGAGTTTCACTTCCAGGGCTGAAAGTGTTGAAGCCGACTTACCTCCCTGCTTCCTGCTCTGTGCACAAGCGTGTCTGTGAGCTCTGGGGCCTCCTGCACCGCTCCTGGACCGCGGAGCGGGAGGGAGATGGGTCTGTCCCGGTCCACGGGGCACCCACAGGCCGCGTCTGTCTCAGCCCAGGCTGGGGAGGCCGCTGTGTGTGGGGGCTGCCGCCGACCCTCGGCAGCCGCCGCCCAGCGCGGCGGGCGGAGCGCGGGGTGGTCCCTGCGAGCGCGGGGCCGCGGAGGGAGAGCTCGGCTGGGACTTCCCCCCGGAACGCACCCTTTGGCCGCTGTGCAGGATGTGCTGGAGCGGCTTCACGCCGTTTCGAAAGCGCCCAGAGGGGCACCGGGCGAAGTCCTCAGCCTCGCCCATCCCGCCGGAGTCTCCGGGCGGCTGCGCTGCCCCGCAGCTCCCGCACCCTGCAGGCTCCGCCAGTGCCCCGGCTCGGCCAGGTTCCCCCGGGATGGGTTTGCCGCCGGCTAGGCCAGGTTCCCCCGGGATGGGTTTACCGCCGGCTCCGGGCCGCGGGCCAGACCCAGCCCCGCGCTGAGGCGACCTCACCACGCTCCTTCCCGGAGCGCTCCAACTTCACCCCGCTCTTAGTGGGGCGGAAAAAAACGTTTCCCCCACTCTCGGCTGTGAAAGCTTTCCAGAGGAAGCGCTGGGAGCTGCAGCGAGGCTGGGGATGAAAGCCCCAGGTGTCCCCGCTCCGTGCCCCGCACGGTATCTCTGTGTGTGTGAGCGCTAGGCGCTGCGCTCGAAGGCAGTCCGTGAAAGCTGAGCTGGAATTTGCAGCCAAAGGCTTTCATTGCGATCCTTACCTGTGCAAGGCGAGTTTCCAGCAGAAAGCCTTGCCTTGGAAGGGAGAGCAGCAAACGCGCTGTCCCGCCGGGCCGGTCTGTGTTTACTGATTCATTACCTCAGCAGTGACGGGTTTCGGGTTTGGTTGTATCATTGATAAGTGTGTGTTCAATCTTAATGCTGAACAGTTTCCCACTAGGTAGGCAGAAGAATAAATATTTCCACAATATAACTCAGACAAGTTACTTCTCTATTGGCTTTGTCCTCTGAATATCTTCAGGATATGCTGATGTAGTGCGTGTTGTGACTAAACTGCGTTAAAACGTGCTGCTGGTGAGAGTATCTCATAATTCCCTGAGAAACGGCCAGCGACTGGATTGTGTGAAAAGTCAGTGCCAGTCTGGACGGTAAACGCAGGAGTCTTGTTTACCCTTTCAGAATGCTCATGGCAGAGCAAAGCTGATATAATGAAGACAAACCAAGGTTGTTGTGACATCTTGTACTTTTTCCTGAAATTAACTAAGGACTATGGTCTCTGCTGCAATATCTTTGATGTTGCATGTAGATGCTGGGCTTTTTTCCAATCCTTCTTTATGACTCAGAATGTATTGAACCATAAATAATTTTCTAGATAAATTATATTAATGTTATTGTTCTGAATCAGCTAAGAAGACCATGGACAGTCTCTGGATGGTTGGTTATTTACACTCAAGTGCCAATTCTGAATAATTATTCATTTTTACTCAAAAAGTTACTCCAAAATTACTCAAAGAGTAAATGATCCCTGTGGAACTGAGTAAATGTGTACTTGATATAAGTGGTTTTTAATCTTTGCAGTGATTAAGAATGCTTGAAACCACACTGATGTGTATTTGCAGTGTTGAAATAATTTTGTACACTTTCAATGCTCTTATTCAGTAAGCAAATAACAAGTCTATAGAAAATATGCACTAAACATGTGAGAGTATAAAAGTTTAATGAAATAACTGAGTAATTTCAGCAGTTAAGTAGGGGTAGATGTAGAGCACAAAATTCTAAGTGTGTTCATTGTTTGGAATGTGAAAAAATAGAGTTTTTACTTCACTGTAAGAGCTCCTGCAGGTGTCCAGTATTTCATGGGTTTGCGGACTTGGAATTGGTGATGATATCTTATCCCTTTGTTGCCAACTGAATAATGCACATGGCCTTTAAAAAGAAATTTCAAGAATTCTGTGCAGGTGAATTTGTTATTTTTTAATGCATGGATACTTGAATATTTATCATTCTCAAGTCAGTATTCACTGCAAACTAAGCTAAAACTACTCAGTTTTCTGTTGCAAAGTTTATCAGGTGTATTCATGATATGATACCTGAATGTTTGCAAAAATCTGGGAAAAATAAATGCTTTGGTTTTACAGATGTTTGAATGTTAAAATCCTGTTAAGATGTGGATGATTTTGGTCTTAGCTGACTTTATATATACTAGCCTTGGCAAATTTTGCTTTTTGACTTCCTTCTCTTAAGTTTCATGCCTATTAGAGTAATGCTGCACTTCAGGAATTTGTTATTTTTTAGCTCTTGCTCAGGGTAAAACTGAACAAAAAGGGAGATGAGATGATGACTCATGAGACAGCAGGTTGCAGGGGGAGATACATTCCAGTAACATGGGAGGAATTGGCATGGAGCAGGTTCAGACTGATATGCCTTGCTTCTTTCAAAGTAGGGAAGAAAACTCAGTAATCAACAACTCCAATATTGATGATTAATCATTTTGCACTGCTTTTTAGCATACTTTCTATGTACAGACATTGGAAATGATGATTTCAATAATTCTGTCTGCATTTTCTCTAAATTCTATTAAAATACACATAAATGAAACCATAAATACTATATATTGATAAGTACTATTACAACTGACAATAGCTTTTAGAGACTTGTTTTGAAGTGATTTTTTTTCTCTTTCAATCACTTGTTAGAGGATGTGAGTGTTTTCTCCTTGCTGCTCTATTTGTGACTGTCTCATTGCTATGGCAGCTTGTGCCATCTCAGACTGAGGTAAGAGTTCTCACCTTCTTGAGCTTTTGTATTCTGTAGTTTTGCTGCAAGCATCCTTTTAGATAAGGTCATTCAAGACTGCCTTTTAGATATTTTTATATATTTAGATATATACTGCAATAGGAATGCCCTCAAGTTTGTTCAGGAAGCTCTACAGCTTCAATATTTCAGTTCAAACCAGTCCCTGTGCTTTTGAAGGCAGCTGCCCAACCAAACCAGGTTCGGTTGGTGCTGCAGGATGGTTGAGGAGCACAGCCTCGCTGCCCCCAGGTGGAATGAAACTGGAAGATGTGCTAGCTGTATAAAATTGCAGCTAAATCTTTTGGGTGTATTAAATTGACTTTTGTAAAATAGGGAAAAAGGTGGACTTTACAACAAATAATGAAAAGCTAACAAGAGGTTCTGATGGTAAGTACAGGGCAAGAAAAAATTACTCCACTTCCAAATTCTTTGTCTTTCCACTGAATAAAATAATTTATTACATAGTAAAGTACAAACAGTGACTGCAGTTTTAGTTCTTCATTTCTCTTACCATAATGATCACTTATATAACAACTTCATCTCCTGCTAACATTAGAGTAGGAATCAGAATATTACATTAAACCCACAGCTGCACTCTTCAGCTATTGCTTCTGTGTACATGTTTCTGGAATGAACCTTGGCTTAACATCTGTCACATAATATTTTATACCTTAAGTTCCTACATTGTGCAATTTTAATATCCATAACCTGTATAATATAAATATAGTTATTTTGGAGATGACAGTGGTACTCTGTATGCAGAATTCAATGCATACAATTCAAAAGATGATGGGTAGCTGAAGTCAAGCGAATTCAGTTTTTTTACAACACTTCCAGAAAAATCTCAGTTGAAGTTAATACTAATAAAATACAAAATATATATATCAGCAGAAGATCAAGTTGTGTGCACTGGAAAAAAAGGGCATTTGGAGAAAGGGCCCTTCAGTGACATTCCTACAGGTTCCTCTGTAAGCACCTCCGTTACCACACAAACGCAGCTCGCTCCCGTAACATCCTGACACCAAAACGCTGCCACTCCCTCTGGTATATCCATAGCTCCTGAGTTGTGTCCAGACAGGCCAAAACTGCACCCCCTTTCCAGGCAATTAAACGTGGATCCATATCCTAAATTCAAAACACAGATTGCGCACAATCATTTGTCTCATTTTGCATAGTTCTCCAAAGTTGTATCCAACTTTTCCAACAGTATTCACCAGGTAGAATATGGTGGGGTAGGGGAGGAGAAAAGTTTTTCAGTATTATCCAGGAAAAAATAGTGAGATAAAAATATGTAATTGATATTCAAGATGCTTAGAGAAGCCACTTTTTAAGATGCTTTCTAAGCACATCATGAAAATCTTGCCTTCAGTAATGGAGGCTCTGAAATAGAAGTATATTTACAAGTTTTGCCTGATTAATGCCAAATAAAAATTTATCTCAATGCCTGTTTTTCTACTATCTTGATAGTACTAAAAAATAAATTATATACAATTTCTTGCTGAGGAGACAGGTTACCTTCATGGGCCAACACTAACTGCTTCTTTTTGAATAGGGCCTTGAGCTAATAAACACTTCAGTGATCTGTACCAGTCACACTCTTGCTATGCCTTTAACTCCCTGCCTCTAACCAGCCAGTGCTATGTTACAGGCTGAAAGCTCCCTCAAACCTCAGATATTCACCTACTCTGGGATGTTAAAAGAAGATCTTTTTCTTTTACTCTTTCAAAGATTTCAACCAGTTTAATAGTTACCTTAGGCCTTGTGATGACCTCAACATTTTCAACAACTCTTCTGAAAGAAGGTGGCATTTTGTTGAGAATTCGGTGTTGAAGAAACTCTTGAGCTTTATGAAACATAAGGCCTCCTCCCACTACTAAGATGGAGCTGTACATCTTCTTTTTTGTATCATCAGATGCTGGAAGGAATGAATACACAGAAATATATCTGTTTTTTAAAGTTAATATGGCCTGTATTACAATTAATTTAGTGCAAGTCAAACCAGATAGAAACCAATTGCTTCTAAAATTCTTCTATTCCTTGGACATGTAGCTTGAGAAATATCAACAAAGATGCAAGCATAAGAAACAGTGTAGCTACTCTCCCTGTGATAAAACCTAGAGACACGTCTTTCTTTGGTGGAATATAGGAGTTACATAAATCCACCCTGAGGTGGATTTTACAGATTTGTACAAATGTAATTCTTACCACAGCAGTCAATACTGTGAAGGATGGCTTTGTCCAGGCCCAAGGCTTTGCCTTCAAACTGAGAAATTGCAGTTTT